TACTACCATGACAAACATCCTTTTACAAAATCTATTACAGTACAACAAAACTGAAGAAAATACTCACAGTGCCAATTCTTAGAATTAAAACACACAACTGCAGAATAAATGTGTAATATAAATTAAACTAAATAAATGTACAACACAGTTTTGAGCGCTGTGAGTTCCTCTTCTACGGCTTGTTCAATCACAATCTTTCCCACACTGGGTGTACTTAAAAGAAAAAAATGCACACCTATCCTCTTTCTGACAATGATTGTAATGCCAGTGTTGAAGTAAGAAAATTAACTGGTGTGGTCATTAAATATTTAAGATTAAATTGTAGCATTGACTGTTTGTTTGATACATTCCGTATAAAATGTTTGTTTGCAGTTGCAGATAAGAGTATTACAGGCAACCTTACACTTGCCTTAAAATTACATTGACTAAGTGTTGAATAAAATGGTTAAGTTAAATTTGGTACGGTCTCGGTCTTGACTCGGTCTCGCTTTGTCTTGGTCTCGGTCTCGACTCGTCTCAACCCCTCAAAGTCTTGGTCTTGTCTCGGTCTCGATACACTGTGGTCTCGGCCATGTCTTGGTCTCGGTTTAGGTTGTCTTGACTACAACACTACCTGCAGCCCGTTATCAGACTAAAATAACGCAAATTAAATACTCATCTTTATTTTCCAAAGCTACAAGGAGCTGCAGAGATGTATGAAAGAGCCACATGCGGCTCAGCGGGTTGCCGGCCCATCATAGACTATAGATAAGGCTTGGAATGTAGGTCAACTGGTAAATCACGAGCTACAACTTCGGGCTCAGCGCCTTCTTTACCACAATGGTCTGGTACAACGCCTGCATTACGGCTGATGCTGCACATATCTGTCAGTCCATCTCACTCTAAATTTTCATTCACATCGCTCAACAACAAAATCCTGAGATCCTTAAACTCATTTTTGGCCAGCACCTGCCCCCACCAGATTTTGAGCTGCTAACTCTCATCCCTGTCACCTCACACTCTGCTACAACCACACCAGTGCTGCTGAAGGTCACGGTCTGATGAAGCCAACAGAACCATGTTATCTGCAAAAAGTAGAGATTCTCAGCCCAGCTGCACCTTGAAATCCCAAGTGGCAGCCCTGGCAGAGTCCAACACCCGCTGAAAATACGATTAGCTTTGTCCAGAGTATACAGACACAGCTGTCACTTTGGTTGTAATAAGACCAGATGGCTCATAGCAACAAGCCCGGAACCCCATACTCCTGCAGTACCCCCACAGGGCCCTTCGAGGGACACGGTCATAGGCCTTTTCCAAATCCACAAAACACATGTAGACTGGCTGGTCAAACTCCCATGACCCCCTCAGCAGCTACTGCAGGGGTTAGGAACTCGTCCACTTTACACAGCCAGGACAGAATCCTCTGAAATTGCTCTGTACTTGTGACATGTGCAATGACAATAAGTCTGATTCTGATTCTGAAATCTGAAGCCCTACAATTAGTCAGAACCTCCTTTCAGCACCCTGGAGTAAGCCTTCCCAAGGACGCTGAGCAGTGTGATACCCTGACAAGTACACCGTCCATCCAACCCCTCAGCTCAGAAAATGACGAACATGAAGCTCCACAGCCACCACCCCGACCTCCGCATGTCGCTAAAGTGGCTTGTTAGCTAAGACAGTTCTGCAGTGTCCAGAGCCTTCACCATCTTAGGGCGATTCTTGTCCAAACCTGGTGCCTTGAAACTGAGGAGCTTTTCAACTACCTCAGTAGCCTTAGTCACAGATATGGGCAAAGCTTCCCCCAGTCTTCTGACTTGGCCACAGCAGCAGAGGACATGTTGGCCAGGTTGAGGATGTCCTCAAAGTCCTGCTCCCACTGCCTGACAATATCCCCAGTCCAGTAAGCAGTTCTCCACACACTGACAATGACACTCATACCCTCATGAAAACAACCTGGACCAAGCCCTGCTTACCTTTCCTAAGTCATCACACTCCTCGAATTCCTGCCACACCCAAGGTTTTGCTTCTGTTACTGCCCCAGCTGCAGCCCTTCCACCATCGTTCTGGAATGCGCCGCTAGGTGGCAGCAACTTGTAACAGCTCCCTTTGCTCTTGATTTTTTTTTGATATATTGTTGTCTTTTTACTGACATTACCTGTCAGATTAGGTTTTTCTTATATGATTTTTTATGCTGAGTTGAAATCTCTGCAACTCAGGAGATTTTT